TCTGCTTCTGTCAATAAAGGCACTCTCTGGCCAAATAAATATCATAAAAAAAGAAAATAATTGAGCTCTTAAATCTTTGTTATGATCATGTATATCTGAACGTTTCTGCAGTGATGTCACCAGCGCTTTGGTGAAAGGTTGCAAAGTTTATTGCAATTATTTTTGACTGATATTGCAATTGATTCACAATATTAGAGGGAATTTTTATTTTTTAAACATTATTCATTCATTAAAGGTGGGGTAGGTAAGTTTGAGAAACCGGCACGAGATACACTTTTTGTTATATTCCATGGAATGCTCTTAACATCCCGATAGCAATTAATATCTTAAGTGCTTTGACAAAAAATCCATAACAAAGTCATCTGTGGAAGCCGTGGCGCTTTAAAAAGCACGACCAATAATTTTAGCCGGCCCGGCTAAAATAACTGGATGGCCTACCTGCCTGTCAGCCTTCCATCTGTGCACAAACTTATCTCGTGCCCTCATTGGTCATGTGCACGTTCGAGTGTGTTGTTGGAGGGGGGCTCTCTAAGGAAGTGGCAGATTTTTTCCGGTTGTGTATTTTCAAATTCTAGCGCACTCGAGCTGGTTTCTGCAAAATTACCTACCCCACCTTTAAGTCTTTAGAATACTGTTTGTATGCTGGGACTTCTCTGAAGATAATCAGATATTTTCAAACATATTGCGCTTACTGGGAAAATATTGCAATAGCCCATATTGTGATTTTGATTGAATTTTGATTGGTTGTGCAGCTCTAGTATAGATGTAACATGAGTGAGTTTACAAACTGACTAGGTTAACTAGGTTAACTAGGTGACGGCACCTCACTGCTGCATACTAACACAAGGTGTGTGGGGGAAGACCTGTGTGTAAAGGAAGGGGAATCAATCTCTCTCTCACTCACACACACACACACACACACACACACGCACACGTGCACACGTGCACACGTGCACATAAAAACTCAATGTAAATGGCTGGTACACTAATGAGATGAAAGGCTGCTCCTGTGTGTGTGTGTGTGTGTGTGTGTGTGTGTGTGTGTGTGTGTGTGTGTGTGTGTGTGTGTGTGTGTGTGTGTGTGTGTGTGTGTGTGTGGACAGGGTAGATTTCCATACCAGGGGGAAATAGGACTGTGATTTCAGACCAAATTAAGCCACATCAAACAGGGCAGATCAAAGCGTGTACAGACCTTACTGTCTGTGGCAGTCTGACATGCCCCACCCCCCCCAGCACTGTCTTCCTTCGCTTTCACTTGTCACTATTCCCTGCACTTCCTTAAGTTTCCTTTTTTCATATCGACAGATTTTCCCGTATCTTACTGTTCCTGGAAGCACACTTCATACTGCTATAAATTCAACTGCCCACCCCCATGCACACAATTTGCAGCTATTTAACAGGGTTATAGGTTAACCTGGATCAAGTGTAATGTAATATATGCTGAGGCTGGGTGTGTTTGATAGAGCAGTCATGCAGTGTACAGGGGGAAGGTGGGGGAGCAGCATCCATTAGCTTTGAATTGTGCTAGCAAACCTACTCAGAGCCTTTGATGCTGCCTCATGCCAGTGGCACCAACTGATCTGTATATATATGTGTGCGTGTGTGTGCGTGTGTGTGTGTGTGTGTGTGTGTGTGTGTGTGTGTGTGTGTGTGTGTGTGTGTGTGTGTGTGTGTGTGTGTGTGTGTTTTTGGCGATGGATTAGACTGCTGCATAAGGAGAGGAGGGGTGGAAGCAGTTTTTGGGTATGAAGAAAGAGTTTGAGAGCGGGTGAAATAAGGGGGAGGAGCAGAGAGCGTGTTTGTGGAAAGATAATGGGGAATTCAATTAATGACAGAAGCTGACAAGGGTAAAGAGGTGTGCTATTAACCTACAGAGGTACAGGAGAGGAGGGGAACAAAGAGTGAGACCTGGAGAAATGTCTGCCTTTTTTGGGGGGGATTGTTTTTCCTCATCTAAATGACTACTATATATACAATAGTTTCATATTAGGGTTAGGGTTGGGGATAGGATCCAGCAAATGTAGGGGGTTTCAATTCCTTTGTACTTTTCCTGATGAATAATAACATTTATTTAGATTTTTTTCTCAAATTAATTGGGCTTTACATATTATTTCAGAGAAACAATGACGATCACATTTTCTAGAGCCCAGGGTGACAATATGAAATGCCTGTTCATTCTTACTAACCACCCCAATGAAACCCAACATCACCAAATCCTCTCATTTAAGAGAGTGTAATCAGAGAATATTTAAAAGGGACACTTTTATTTCAACATCCCTTAGAGATGTATAGTATTGTTTGTCTGGTATGTTTTTTCTACAAAAAATGTCCACTGCCTGCCATTGACTTCTCCTTCATGGGGGTCTGCCCCTTCAAGTCCATCCTCAGTTTGTATCTGCAGCGGAGGCTTCGATAGGTTTCTAAGCTTTTACCGAAGATCTTAAATGTAAACATTTTGAGGTATGACTGACCCCAAATTGTGGTCATTTGTGTAAGCATGGAGAATATTTCCCCCTTCACAGTGAAAGTGGAAATATAAAATAAGAATTAATAATAAAGTACATAAATTGTCCCTTGGTACAGTTCTTGAGTTATTCAGTCTACTTTGTTAATAAATGTCTTAATGTATTCCAAATCAGTGTCATTTTGGCTCTTTCCTAAAATGTTCTCCCCATTTATTGGCATTTCTTAATATCTCTCCTTCCTTTTACCTACTGAGTAGTGTGGTATGTTTTTTTTATCAATATGTTATATCTGTGGATTATAATGTGTATTATTGTCTGTGTGTTGCAGTGCTCCTATCCTGTGTGGGAGGACTTCAGCGCCAAGGCCACCAAGCTGCATTCCCAGCTCCGGTAGGTTTCTTTGAAAACATAACAAATAAATCTTTGTTTTGATATGTAACACAGTCATCGTAATGTACATGGAGTATGTATTGTGTTCTGTACTGATTCCAAGTTTCCTTTACATTTATCTAAAGTAATCAGTGTCTTCTGTTACTATAGAACAACGGTTCTGGCTGCTGTAGCCTTCCTGGATGCCTTTCAGAAGGTGGCAGACATGGCCACCAACACCAGAGGTAGGACACCAGCAGTGTGTAGGCTCATCTCAATTGAATATTTCACCTCCTCCTTTCCCTCACGTGCGTCCCTTCCTTGCGTCTTCGCTCTGCTTCCGTAAGACGCGAGGGAGAGACACGAGGAAGAGACACGAGGACAGAGGAGTCCTCAGGTATTAATTGGAATGTCCTCGTTCACTCAAGCGTCACTTTTAAACAACGTCTGTTAATGATGACATGTGCACAGCAGTGTATCACCTGTCACTGGACTCTCCACATAAATCGCCTTCAAACCTGGGATCTTAGTTTCTCATTGAAATGATTTCATCCATCTCTTCCATTCATCTCTTTTATTATAGTTTTCTATGTATTACTTTCGGTCCTGTATTGGTTTTTCCAGCTATAAAATTTCATTTAAATTTTAATTATAATCACAACAATAATCATAATTGATGGATTCATTTCCTTATGGTATTTGAGCTTGTTTCAGATCAACTTTTGTATTGGATGTTGTTGTTTAATTTGTCCTACAGAAGAGAGACACAAATCACTAAAATATGTATTAGTTATTCTACCCGTATTTGTATACATCCTAAATGTCTGACGTTCTGTGGGTCTGCCACACATGCATCACAAACCACAAGTAAGAACTGTAAGTTATTATTTTATAATCAAAACATTATTATTGAATTTGTAAGTATATTTCACACACTTTAATGTTTTTATAGAGTATGATCTCCTCATTCGTTTAAGAGATTAATATATTTTACTCTTAATGAAGCACTTTAAACATTTAATGACTCTGATCCTCCTTTAACGGTGAGATCAGCTGCAGTGAGCAGAGGCTGTGAAGGTGGGGGCGGGGCTTTTATACGCGAGTAGTGAAAACACTTCCGCGTAGTCTGCTCTCGTGTATCCTCCCTCACCCCTCCTCGACTCCTCTGTGTGCATTTAAGAGATTGGGACGTCCTTCAACATGGCGTGTCTTGATTCATTTCCGGGTCAAGTCCCAGAGGAGGGGGAGAGATGAGTCGAGGAGGGACATTGAGATTAACCTTGAGATGAACCTCTTGTGTCATGTAGGGTTTCACTTCCTGTCTTGGAAGGCTTCTCAATACTCTAATTTCCCCTCCTCGACTCCTCGGTCCTCCGGTAGTGACCCAGAAATGGATTTCAGCGCGCCATGTTGAAGGACATCTCATTTCTCTAAATGCACATCGAGGACCGAGCATCGAGGCTCTTTGGAGGAGCTATGATCGAGGATTCACTGATGGTTCCTCCACGGCTCCTCCGCGGATGCATTTCCGGGAACGGTGGAGTCGTGACGCACGGCCGGACTTATCTCAGCTAATCATCTCTGCATGCAACCCCTGGATATTATTTTAGTAACTGCTTTCATCACGACGCGGTGCAGAAAGCAGAGTGTTAAATATATATCACTCAGTATAACAGGCCTACATTACTCTCTGTATTTGTATGCTGTAGTTTAGTAGATATCTACATTGGGGATGGGGAACACTCAAAGTTCTTTATTGAGGTAGCCTACATTATTCTTTTTATTTTGTATTTTTCTAAAGGCATTTTTCTGTCCGGAGAGGGCCTTTTATCAGTTATATTTATTCAAACCAGTTGCGTGGAGGTCGTCGCCTCATGCGGGCCGCCGGTTCTATCCACTGGGCTATCTATTCTTTAAACTGTTGAACTTTTTTTTTTAATTCTCATAATTGTCTTTTTGTTCACAACTTCTCCACATTTCGAAGTGTTTCCTGAGCCAGAACGACCTATCTTTCTTCCTGGCTTGCTCTATAATGATCCAATACAAATGCAATACCAACAACAACTCAACAGCAACAACGCAAACTACGACAACAACCCACACATTGCGCATTGTTTAGAGCGTTTATAAAGCGTTGAAGCGCTTAAATTCGAAACTGTTTTAACCTGTCAGAATCGAGACGAGGCAGTGCATTGAATCACCTGATTGGACGACGAACCAGTGAGTTGATTCATTCAGGAGATGAAGCAGTTGCTGCTTCGGACGTCATATGTCACATGATTTGAAGCAAGCTTCGAAGCACTGCTTCTATGGAATAGGAAAACCAGGGTTTGAAGCACGTATCGAAGCTTCAGTGTCAAACTGCCATCACTAGTTATCCCCCATGTTCCCTCATGGATTTTCTGCCTGTGTTTCCTTGAGCCGTCGCAGTTGTTCCTCATTTAGTCTTTGACATTTTTCTTTGTATTTTTACACTCCCCTTTGTTTCTTGCAGACATGATTTCTGTTACAGCTTTACCTTTAAATAAAGCTAGGCATGTGTTATCCTTACTTGCGCCCCTTTTGTTCTGCGTGTGAACTGACTCATGACATTTATTTTGGTCAGAATGGTAAACCCAGCTAGCTACCCCTTATATTCCAGCAGATGGCAGTCACAACTCAGAAACCTGTTTCAGAGATGTTGCCAGGTAGGCGGGTGACCTGGGAGTCTTAAAGGACCATACACATGGAATTGAAGGTATACAGGTACATGTTATTAAGGCACTACTACAAACTCAATTTTGATGACCATTTCCATAAGTATTGGTCCTACCTTCCAGGACAGCCATTGTTTTTTTGTTGTTGTATACATGTGTTACAGTTTGGCTTCAAAAAGAACCTAAACTAAACACATTTAATTATGTTTTATGGACTTCACCATTCATAGCAAGCTGAAGGATTTTTTCTAAAACTGAAATGAATATAAACCAACGCATGCCTGGGAAAGTAAAAAAGAATAGCACTGTGCTTCCAGTGGCTTCCAGTAAGAATGTATCAGGCTGTAACTGCTAGTCAACTCCCAGAGTGATGTCTTACTGTGTGTGTGACTCACCAGTAAATAGCCCCTGAACTGGTTATAGATGATGGCTGTCAGTAGGTTCATCAGGCAGTAGGTTCCTGCCAGGAAGCACAACAAAGTGCCTCAGAAACACTAAAAACTTTTTTTTGCTTTGACAAAAAACAAAATCTGCTGCATTGACACAGACTGTAATAATCACTGCTTACCAATTACGCTGAAGCTCACAAAGAAAATGGAGTAGCCTCTGTTCAGGGAGTAGGCAGGGATCATCACTGTGACAGGACAGAGAACTGTTGAAAAGAGCTCTTCACAGACACTATGAACAGACATGTGTGTTATGTGAGTGAGTGTGTACCATCAGGGTTGTTGGCTGTGGTGAGCAGCACCAGCAGAGACGTGAGAGAGCTGGAGAAGTCCTTGAAATGTAACTCCCACTCCCCGTTCCGCTTCGGATCCTGAACACAAAAACAGAAGGAGAGTGGCTAACCTTACTTTGTTCTACATACACTTTTATATAATACTGAAATGAGATGTAAAACATTTGGTTCCAGCCCCTCAATTTCATTATTTGCAGTCTTTCAGTTCCTCGAGACTAGGAGGTAGTTAAGTGGCAGCCATAATAAGAGATGTTCGTCACATAAAGATAATGCGGCAGCAGCTCAGTCGACTCTGCAGGGACTTGGTTTGGGAACCGAAGAATCCCCAGTTTGAGTCTTAATCGGCACTGCAAGATGTTCTTGAGCAAGGCACCAAACCTCCAACTGCTCATGGGCACTGGAACACAGCGGCCCCCTGCTTTGACACCTCTCCATTAGTGCATGTTTATAGGTCCTGTTTGTGCATGTGTTTATTTCAGGCCTGTGTGGGTAAGTGTATAATAACACCAGTGAAGAACGGAATTTCCCTTTGGGGATTACCATAGTGATCTTAATAAATGGAAAAGAGCTTCAGTGCTTCTCTAAGAATTTCCTATACTAATGCGACACAGCGGACCATTCTTTATGAAAGGACAGGAGACAGTGCTGTCCCACAATTCCTTGCATACGAAAAATGTAAAGTGCAAAGTTCAATGCTTATTCAGCATTTTCCATCTTATGCCATAACTGTAGTGCTCATACAGTATGTTATGAACCTTAAATATTATGTTTAACCAAAAGTGAACATCATATTGTAGATATGTAGTCCTAAAAGGTTATGCATATATTTCATAAATTATCACTTACAGTAATCAAAACATTCATACAATCATACTAGTGGGCAGGGGTTGAATTGTGCCGGGGCAGTCCGGGGACAATGCTCAGACGTCATCACCCTCACACATTTTTAACCATGCCTATATCATATGTTTACAAAAAACTATATGTATGTTAAAACTGTTCTCGTTATTAATAATCCGACCCCTCTTGTACCATGGAGCCCGTATCTTAAACCGTGCTATATGTATGTATGTTCATAAAGCTGACTTATGATCAGTCACAATAACACTGAATGTTATTATTCATTTAAGATGTAAATTAATTCCAGTTAAATGTTACTATTAAAAAGACGGTTCCTTTTGTAATACTGTCTCATTGTGTTGCATCAATGTGTGCCTTTGATACAGATACAGGAGCAGTTGCTTTAGGATTGAGCCCCCTTAAGCCCTGAAGGTTAACATAATGAGATCCTTGACCGCCCAGAGTTATTTGTTTTAACTCTGGTATATTTGACACGTTGAACCATTCTAAATTGTGGCGTTATTAGCAACTTCTGCTTACATGGTAACCATGGATATACTGACAACAGTCACTGGATCACTGCTGATCAGGAAGAAAATGACTTTTACAGGGTGTGACCACAATGACCTGAACTCACCTCGCTTTTAGCAAACAGCAGCATGCCGATCATGGTGAAGAGGCAGAGGTGGAGCGCCAGCAGCAAGATGACACTGCAGACAGGAGGACACACACACACACACACACACACACACACACACACACACACACACACACACACACACACACACACACACACACTCTTAAATAATATCAAATGTTGATGCTATGACCATTAGTTTGACTCATTTCAACTTTGTTTCTTAACAATCAGTACTACAATACCCATGAGCCTCAGTAGCTGTTACTATAGTCATAGGCCAGTCAGCAATACAACAAGTTTAGCAAACAAAACATAACCGAAAATGTTCCAAAAATGTGTCAACAGAATCTACATTTCTGTTTGAAGGAAAAAACATAAAAATGGAAGTCGTAATTGACTTTCCCTTTACATTTTTAATTATAAATAAATAGTCAATAAATAGTCACCTAACATGTCTTTTGACATTCTTGTCTGAATAACAAATCTTTAGAACCATATATAATCTGAAATAAATCCTTCTTATTGTTCAAGATAATGATTTTTGTATCAGTTGTCATCACATTAACTGTGATGACAACTGATACAAAAATGTGATCACTGGTCTGTGTGACTTGCTGACAAAGTATTTCATAATAAACACAATGGATCAGTGATCTATATTTACCGACAGCGAGCCATTGTGCACGTTTCACTGCTGCACATCCTGTGCATCAACCAAAACAGACACCGTGACATGGCAGTGACAGTCAGCAGCCACAATCCAGTCTCCGTAAATTCTCATTTATATTTTCACTCTTGGGCCTGAGCCCTGTCGGCTTCAACAAGTCAGATACCTGGCAATCTCTGGAAGAGTCCTCTTGATGCACTTCAGCGTCTTTTTCATCAGGGAAGAGTTCTGCAGGAGGAAGAAGGGCCGGAGGAGCCGCCGCACTCTAAGTCTCTGACAAACAGAGAAAAGACAAGATCCCTTTTTAATGCAGTATGATTAATGATTCATTTAATTCACTACTTCTCAACACAGAGTATGCTTAGGAATTGATTTGGGAGTTTGAACTCAACAAGTCTAACTCTGTACATACAGTATATGGATATAAGTGTTCTTTAAAAATCACCAGCTCAGTTTAGTTGAAGTGTATAGGCAAATATATATACTAGACTCCAAATTCTGCTTCGATGTTTTAAGAGCTGCACTGTATATTTACAATATACAACATTTGATATCCTTTACTATACTGCCGCTGCTACTTTTCATTCATACAGATATGTTTCTTTAACAGAGCAGTTGTATGCTCTTGACCTTGCCTCTGAGACTTATGTATAACATCTTATGTTTAAAGCACTCTGGGGTCATCAGAGCCACCAGTGAAGAATCACAAGACTTGCACCTGCAGAAGGTCCTCATGTCCAAATAGATGGTCATTTCAACAAGGCATTATTTTTGATAAATCGACAAGCTATTTGAAATATAACAAGATAATTTCTTTACTGAAAAAAGAAATTGAGGTGTAGGCAGGAACATTAGAATAATTGTAACCCTAGCTCAAATACTCTGCCAACATGGGTTGATGTGAAAAGCAGCAGGACCTCTGTCAGTCAATAGGTCTCTACTTGGTTAGCTAGCCTTTCATTTGTGTTCATAATGAGAGTGGACAACAGTCTTATTTGTACTCTGCCAATAATCTCTATACAGCTACAGCCAGAGGTTAAAACTCCAGCCTTTCTTTTCCCACACACTAAACAAGTTTAGGATGTACTCCTGTATAACCACATGGTCTCTGAATGCTTCTGCTGGACGTTGTGCTGCACTCCTCTTGGCAGAACATGCTTACCTCATCACACACCATGCTGACAGAGAGCACCCAGTCGATGATGGAGAACACAATGACTGCTGTGTAGGCGATCAGCCATTTGTTCTTTCTGAATTCCTCCCAGCCAATCAGGTAGCTCTGAGGACAAAACACATGATGTGAAGCAGTGGTTCAAACGGACCAATAACGAGGCGGTAAGGCCCTGATACACCAGGCCGAAATTGGCCGTTTTCGTTAGTCGGACAACGAAGCATGCCCTGTCGACCAAACTCAATTTGGTGTGTCCTGCACCGTCGGCCGTGACACGCCTTATTTGGCCTTTCATGGCCGACGCACGGCTGATTCAACATGTTGATCGGCCGTGCGTCGGCCACAGGCAGTCGGACAAAGAAATCATTCTGATTGGCTGTTCAGATAGCGAATGCGAATCAGTGCATGAGAAGCGAAACGGTTGCTTGAGAATGTCTTCCACAAGCAACACTCCAATGGCTGATAGCTCCAGTACCGCACAAAACGTGTTTTCGATGGACGAGAGTGAAAATGGAATGCACACACTATTTGTTGTTTGTTTATATCACGTAGTCTGTTCCAGTTGTTGCCTCTTTTGAATGACGAATACACACTACCGTCGCCTGCTGGTAAGGAGAGTTATTGCCACTCACGCATGCGCAATTCGTACGTGCTCGGCTGAAGTCTTTGCGGTGTGTTCCAGTGCGACACATGGCCAAGACGCAGGAGAACACTCCGACGCAAAAGTCAGCGTCGGCATCGGCGAGTTCTCTGGTGACTGCTTGGTGTGTCAGGGCTTTTAAGTTGCACAATTTGGAAAAAATAACTAATTGCAATAATTTTAACTGACATGATTTGAGACTTGATGACTTGAAAACATATATACATACATATTTCCATTAGCAAATATTGTGCTTACTCAATTTGAATACTGTATTCCATATTGCAATTTCAATAACATCTAGATAGATTGTGCAGCCTTAAAGGTAATAACTATTATTTGGAAACATCACATATGATCCATGTCAGGGATGATCCTGGAGAGGTTCCCCCCACCCGGCTTACCTTCACAGCGAGGTCCAGACAGAAGATGAGGAGGCAGAGCATCTCGAAGCTCTCAGTGAAGCCGCAGGGGGGCTGCCAGGCGGGGGAGCGGAACCGGGGGTCCGAGGAGATGGACAGGGAGGAGGGCCGCTCCACAAACGCCAGCAACAACAACACCGCAATGGTGAGGCCCAGGAACCTGGTGATGTAGGCATTGTAGAAAAAAACGTTTCATTTACAAATGTAAACCTCACAAGATAATACATACGACTCCAAATGGTGCTTTCTCAAGTTAAACTCCTCAAAACAGTGTTGGCATATTGTTAACCCTGATCCTCCCATCTGAGGTACCCACATACCCACTGTCATATCTCACAGGGGCTTACCCCTTTTACATTTGCATTACACTTTCGAGGACATTGTCAAAATGACCAATATCTAGAAAATGTATGGGAATCCTAGGGGAAACAGTTCTAATTCAGTTTTATTAGATGAAGTAGAATAGATAGCTAAATGTTTGCTTCATCAAAATGACTGACACAGATGCAGCAGACACCGACTTCTAACTGTCTAACCTTCCCACAATAATAATACGATTTTATTTTTGCTTCAGATTTGATTAATTAAATAGCTAAAACTGATACATCATTACCTACAGTAGTTTATTTTTGTGTTTTAGCTATTTCAAAATCAATCTGAAATACAGAAAAAAAACACATTTGAAGGTGTAGACTTTAATTGTATAGACTTAAAAACTGAGAAGTAAGTGAAATAATCTATACATCTGTAGATATATATATAGGTTATATTAGTAAACATATATGAATGCCCAAATAAATGAATAGCCTGGCAACAAATAAAACAGATAGATAAGTAGATTTAGTTTAGTAGTCATCTTTTTCCAAAATGGTTTCTTTTTCGTAATCAGTCTCTCTCGTTAACTGTATTTTCAGAACACCTAAACACCTCATGACGATATACTCTATATCAGCAGAGATTTGCGTTAGAAATCACAGGAATTTATAGCAGGTAAAGCACAGGTGTTACGAATAGCAATAATGATGGTTCAGTTCTAGACAGGGTTCATACTGTATGACTTTTCCATGACTTCTCCATGACCTTTACCTAATTTTCCATGACCAAAAAAATAACTCTTTCTCAGCAGTACCACTGAAAAGGGTTTATTTCAACATGGAACAGGAAAATAGGGTCTGCTTATGAAACATGTTGTGCCTATCTAAAACAAATCTAATAGTAGGCTTACTAGCTACACGCTAAAGCAACTCAAATCTCTCACCAGCAAAATACCTCAACAGTTTAATGCCATTTTACATTTCATTAATATACGATACAGTATTTATTATCATTATAGTATTACTATTTCGGCGATTAGATAAAATATAAATTATATTTGATGCAACTTGAGTTACATTTCCA